ATTTTTTTTTTTACCATAAGGATCAAATTTATTACAGAAATCAGGATTATCAAAGGTCTACTAGTTTACCATGATGGTTAAGGATACAGCCTACCTTCCAATGCCTGCTATACTAGTTACTGTCTGTGAGATCTTCTGCAAATTAGTTGTCTCTCTGCAATTCAGTTTCCTCAGCAATAAACAGAGATTAATGATGATAGGCTCCAAATTGGGTTGTCATGAAAAGTCAAAAAATAATACATGAAAACTAGCCATTTAGGACTGTGTTTAATAAACAGAGAACATCCCATAAATTGTTACTATTATTATCACCCAATTAATTTAAAATTATCATCTAAATAGACAAATTTGTAGAAGTGAAATCTGTCCAGAGCTACCAAAACCCTTTGAAATGCAGTGTTACTAAAGCACAAGTCTTAGTACTGGAAGTGCCTTAAAAATCATCATTATTCATTCAGTAACTCTTGCTAAGTCCTTAATTATCTCCACTAAATCCCGAAGACCCTTTCCATATTCACTTGCTCACTTAGAATCATTTCATGGCATTCTCTCCTTCAAACACGTTTTTCCTGTGGTTGGAATGACACAGTGCTGTGTGTTTTCCACCTCCATTTCTTAATTTGCATCTGTCTTCTCCATATTTCTTTTTCGGGGTCATTACTTTTTTACAACCATTACATTTTCATTCAGGTCCTTCAAAGCTAAGGTTTTACCTTTCTTAATTGCTTCACCCATAATTTCCATTAAAAATAAGAATTATTCAGATAATTCATTTTTATTTATAGCCTATATAGAACATAAATTATAGAATTACATATTCTCCAGGTTTCCTGGCTCTCTTTAGTTCAACTATCATATTTTATACCCCATCTTCCTTAACAATTAAACAAATAACAAAATAATACAAAGGTGAAAATATTGGCTCCTAGGCTTCTGTGTCAGCCACTTTTTACATTTTCCCCTTATTCTCTATCAACACATATGGTTCAAAGAGTTTTGCATATGGTCTGAGGCAGATGCACCTAAATAACTCTCTGTTTATAGACTGAACATTACGTAATTAGCCTGATCTTCCCAACTCAAATGCAGATATGCACTAAAACAGCTCTAGGCAAAGTGGGGCAAGGTTTGCCTGTCTTTATTTGCATTATAAATTCATCACAAAATCTCGACAATTTTCATGGCATTACTAGATATACTTAATTTTAAAAAAGGATAGTCTAAAACAATATAAGCATAAATATTTCTTAACATTTGTTTATAAAGTCCTCATTCTGCGATACTTGGATTGGCCATTAAAATAAAAACTAGTGTGATTTCCTCTAGACATTTAGCCTCTGAGTCTCAATTTTCCCCTTAATAAGTGGGGATACCAATACTAAACTCAAAGGTATCTAAAACATGGCCTACCCAGTATTGCTTAGAGCATTAAATCACTGTGTTTTTCTGTCTCCTCTCATCTCCTCTCACCATCTCCTCTCCTGTTCTATGCCTCTCCTTCAGACTTTATGTTCCCTCCTCCTTGACTCAGGGGACTCAATAAAATGACAGGAATTCAGTGAGAATACCTTATTTTTCCATATTACAATAAAATGACTCTGAATGACCAAGTAGATGATAAGTACACTTGTTTTCAAATGGAATAAATACTCTGGTGACATGTGACGTGTCTCCTTCTTGGTCATCTATTATTGTTATTTTACTAAAACAGCAATGTGTAATTCTAGCCACAAAGACACTTATTAAAGTAAGTTCTGACTATTTCCATTTTGAAAAATATTTGTGTAGAATAACCTCCAAATAAAAAAATATTGGTTGTAATTCCCAGATACTTTTGAAATTTAAGTATATTCCCCCTTGTAGTCTGTTAACAACCATCACATTGAAGGACATGAATTATTAATTCAAATAGGTAAGTAATTTTAGTTATGATAAGTTAATCTTAGGCAAGTTAAGACAATTTAAAAAATTATTTGCTAAAACTTGGTTCTTGTTCCCAAAGGCTTCACACTTTTAGATTACATATCTCAATGAATAGTTCCCATTTCAAAGAGTAAAACACTGTATCTAAACATTCTAGAAAATTAATCCCCATTAAAAATCTCACTACTATTCAGAGTCCTGATTCCATTCTACTGTCAGGGTCAAAGTGCTAAGCAAGAATATCTCAGGCACCTGAGAGGAATGTTTCTACTGGGAATTAGAAAACAAATTACCCACAGCACAAATGAGAAGACCAAGGGACCAAGTCTCCATCATTCTAACATTCTACTGACTCATGGCACAGGTCATGAGATATGGTGCTGGGTGAAGGTCTTTGACCAACAGTTATCTTAGTTATGGTCACTGAACTCTTTTGGGACCATGACCATGTCATCCAAACTATTGGGGTAACAGTTTCCTCACTTGTAAAATGAAAATGAGTATATGTACTAAATTTTCTCCTACAACTATTAAATTTTAGTTTTTGCTCACTACACTATACCTCTATTTTTTATGAAAAAAAAAGCAAACACTTTAATTTTACTTAAAAGCAGTAAAACACAAATACTCAATCTGTAGAGTTGCACAGGCTTATTTTTAAATGTGCCTTCATTATATATGTCTATGTAGCCTTGTCCAATAATGGATCGCCATTATTCAATATATGTTGAGTCCCAGAACCCTTGTCTATAAAATGGAGATGATAATGGTACCCAATATGAAAGTTGCTTTTTTAGATTTTTCAGTCATAGCCCTGATTAAAATCTTCTAATAACACCACTTGTAGGGTCTATTAAGGTAGTGATTATTTGCTGTATTGTCACTGATGTATCCCAAGCATTGTAACGCAATATACTAATGGACACATATAATTTGACAAATGATTCTACAAATTGTCCTGATAAATGGTTTTATTAACACCTATAGTGTCATTTCAGTATCATGACATATCAAAAGTAGGAATGAAACAATAGGGGTGTTTCAAAGAGAAGATGAAAGGGACTGAGTTATTTGCCAAATATTGTCTGTTGCCAAATGTTTGGGGGAAAAAATATCACTATTACTTTCAAAGAATTTTCCCAGTGGTGGAAAATTTTAAAATTCAAAGTTAGAAAAATTTTTTCTAACAAAATTTATCAAATATTTATAAATTCTTTCTCAAATAAAAGTTGAATTATTATTAGTCAATCAATGCAAGGGTTTAGAAACCTAAAGGTTATAAATCTATTATTTTCTTAAATAAAAAGATTTGGAGATATTGTCTTACAAATAGCATAGACAGAATAATTTAAAAAATATACAAAATATTGAATTTTGACTGTGTGATGCTGCTAACAGTAAAAATATAAATGGAAAGTGTTTAGTAAGTACCAATCCATTTTTGTTTTGTAACTGTGATAAAAAACATGCATTTGTTGATTAATTGTATGACTGAGAAACAAATGCTTCTGGTTTATTTTATTAATGTTGGCAAAGCAGTAGGTAGGAACTAGAGAATCCCTTGTCACTTATCAGAAAAACAGAACTATTTAAAACCAGCTCCTTTTTACTCGAGTGGTAACACTGCCCTTTTGAATTTAAGGATATTAATATTGGGAATGTTCCTGGGTTATATGAAACTAACTGATACATCACTCCTGACAACTAGGGATTATTTTAGACAAAATGTATGACATCAAGGAAAACAGAACCTCACTCAATATCGTTTTTCATGAAGGATAGTTGTCTCCTACTAAAACAGTCTCATCAATCTACTGCCATCAGATCAGGCAGAAATAATTTAGTATATAAATTGGCTATCATAAAATGGAGCCAAACAGAGCTAAGTTGGGCCCCAGAAGATCTGTTAAGCATTTGGAAAACAGAGGAAGCATGTTTTCTTTAATGAACCATCAAAAGCTGATAAAAACTGAGTTTGTCTTTACTTTTAGACAGAAATATTGAGAAAAATGTCATTGTTCTCAAAGTTTTCCTTAGTTTTTAAATTGGCTGCCTACTAAGAAAAGACAGGTGATAACAATGACTTTTTAAAGGTCCGTAGCAGTACACAGCATTTACACTATCAACATATGATGTATTCTTATTGTGATAGTAATTTGATGTGACAGCTTGAGAGGGCCATGGAGTAGCAAACATTTGGCCAGGCATTATTCTGGGTAAATCTGTGAATGTGTTTCTGTATGAGGATAACAATTGATCCCTAGATGGAGTGATGTAGTTTTCTTTCTCTAATGTGGGTGGGTCTAATCCAATCAACTGAAGACCTGAGAAAGAGGGTGTCTGCATGGCTACTTAACTGGGAACTTTGACCTTATTTTTTGGCCTTGAGATTTGAATTTGAACCATTGAATCCTCTAAGTCTCAAGTCTGAAGCTTTCACATCAGAACTATCTTGCTGGTTCTCCTGGGTCTCTCTCTCTCTCTCCCCACTCCCCTCCCCCATCCCCTACTATTATTTCTCTGGAGAATCCTGACTAATAGGCATCAACAGGGAATGAGCTGAGTTGTGCCAATCAGATAATTGAAGTTTATCCCTGTAGAAGTTAATCTATTAGAAACTTGTCTGGCAATAATGTGGGCAATCAGGCAATGCAATAACACACTTGTAATAGAAAATAATGAGATGGTTTTCCAATGTTTTAAAAATGAGTTCTAAAAACAAAAGCAGTTCTTCACTTTACATGCATATGTAGCCATTCTCAAAAACAATTTCTAAAACAACAGCAAATTAGGATTATGTTAACTTCCCAAGGAAATTGTGTAAATATTTAAATATCTAATTTCTTACAGTCATTTTTCATTGAGGACTTATGGATTCAGCATCATCTGTGCTGATTCCTCTCTGTCAGTACTTGGCATATTTAACTTCTTTTCCGTGATTATTTCCAGGTTCTGGTGGTCATATTTAAGCTATGTTTCCACTACACAGATTAAGCTTCCAGAGCATCATGCACAACAATGATACCCTTTATTACTCCTGGCATTAACGACATGTGAAATTTCTCATTGTCACTCACCTGCCCAGAAGTAGAAACTCTCCTGCTAGCCCCAGGCGCCTCATGGCCATCAGCAAACCTCTCACCGTCATGCCCTCACAGAAGCAGGCTACCACCCGGGCCTTCGGCAGGTGACTCCTGAGCTTCTTCAGAAGTTTGTCAAAGCTCTGTTCCCCAGCATTGCTGTAGATTTTATATGAGTGAGCGATGCAAATCCCCTCCTTGGCTGACATATCTTTGAAAGCTTCCATCCCACTTTCTCCATAGTTGCCTGTGTGAAAACATAGAGAATAGGATGTGGTGAAATGAAAGGAATAACTGGGCACAATTAGATTTAGAGGTATGCACCTCCCTGGTGGTGCAGGAGATCGAGCACAGAGTTGTGAAGCTGTCTGCAGCCTCTGCAGCATGGGTTTGATCCCGGCCGGCTGGCGAGAATCCCACATGGCGCAGCAGACCTCTCCTGTCTCGCCCTCTGCTCCCTTCTGCAGTGTATTTCAGTGGGTCTGCCTCTTCTGTTCCCCACTCTGTCTCTGGTGAATCCTCTCACCCTCCCATGCATCTGACCTGTGCCCCAACTTTTGTATACGTAAAGTAAAAATCTTAAAAAAAATTAATTAGAGGCATGAAGGTCACTGAGTAGTGTTGGACTTGGAATGTGGAGCCTTTAATGAGTGTTTGCTATTTCATCGACTTGCTCATTTTGGGCCATTTATAATAAAATTACATTATACATATATGCATTATGCTCTAAAAACTGTCCATTGACAGAAATAATCCTTGATTGAGATTTTACTTTTCTCACAGATCATATACGCTTATGAAAAACATTCAGATTTTTATTCTATATGACCATAGGGAAATTAGTGGTATAGGGAACTTAGAACTGATGGTGATCTTCTAAAATTGATGGAAAATGGAGATCAATATTGAGAACCAACTATATGCCAGGATGTGTACAAAGACTTTTAGGTATGTGATCTTATTTAATGCTCACAATAATAGTCTTAGTTATATAGTATGGCCTCCAATGTATAGTAAATTAACAGAGAGGCAGTTACTCAGACTTCCACAATTAATGAGTAGAGGGCTGCACTATATTCCCAGTTCTGTATAAGAATCAGATTCTGACCCCCCAATATGCTACGGCTAACTCTTTTTTTTTTTTAATTTATTTATTTATTTATACAAGGACTGGGTACAGTCAGAAGTGCAGGAGGGTGACAGAATTCACCAGAGCCAGAGCGGGGAGCAGAATAGGCAGACCGACGAAGTACACTGCTGTGGGGAGCAGTGGGCGGGGCAGGAGAGGTCTGTCGTGCCATGTGGGACCCTTGCCTGTGGCCTGGGATCAAACAGGCACTGCAGAGGATGAGTGCAGCTTCACAGTCCAGCACTCAACTGCTGCGCCACTGGGGAGGCCCCCTATGGCTAACTGTTAAAAGACTAAAAATCCCGAATATATCTGTATTTCTCTTTCCCATTTAAAGGTTATGGTGTTTTAATTTTGGATATTTTGGACCATTTAAGATTCTTTAAATCAAAGCCACCTCATTTTTGAGTTTTCAAAAAATTGTGTGGGATTTATTTAAAGAATATAGGAGACAATTACAAAACAGCCAAGCTGTGAGTATTATAAGGCTATCACTGTATAACAATCAACTATATCTAGGAAGTGGAATTGTATCTGGGGGAGTAAATCTCAAATGAATAAGGGAATACAAAGGATTAAATTTCATAGGTTTCACTGTATGACCTTAATGGAGATAACTTAAATGATAGTATTTTGATTGTGGCAAAGCAGTCCAAATAAATTAGCTAATTGCTACTTACACCAATTTGGTGATGAAGGTGATATTATCTTTCCATCATAGCTGATAAAACAAAAATTGACATTTACAAGTAGTGACAGTGTCTTGGTTTGATAATAAATCTGCTTGATAATAAATCCCTGGCCCTTTATGTGTTCCACAATAGCATAGGTGCCTTTATATGAGATTCATAGACTGAGGATTTTCGTGTAGTGATACCGTCATAAATAAACTGTGAAGGGTAGAGTAGAGTAAACCCACTTTAGTCTGAGCCAAGAACACTGCTGGATCACCTTTCCTTCTGCTCTGTAATTAAAGGAAGAAGCCTCTATGATGATGGAAGTTGGGCAATGTAGTTATTTTTCAATTAACAAAGATAAAAGGGCTTTCATTGAAAAATGTTCAAAGGGTCTAAATTACTAATTTTATACCAACCTGAGTAATCTTTTTTTTTTCATATTTAAGGAGCAGGTTTGTTAGGCATGGGATAGAAGAATAAAGGACACTTGCATAGACACAAGCAGGCAGAAAGAGCTGCCCAATCTGAGTAATCTATTATTCATTGATTTATGTTTAGGCAACTCTATTTTTCTACCAATTTGTTTGCACATAAAGTTTAGTTAATGACAGACATTTGCACAAATAATTTTAAATTAGGTACTTATTAATTGCAATGGCAACAATAAAAATTCTTAATAGGTGTAAAGGCAGGACAGGACACAGTGCAGGTTTTCTGATCCCATGCAGACTGGGTAAAAGAGGAATCAGAGCCCTCAGTGTTTTTTTGCAGGTCTTTTATTGGGGTTCACCAGGCATATGGCAGGCAGGGGTGCTGGGGGGCCGGGAGGCTGGCAGTCCTCCCAGCCCCCAGCAAATCCGCACTCTCTCTGGGCTCTCTGGCGTTCTCTGCTTCTGCTTCAGGCTTCTTCTCTTTCTGCTGCTGCTGCTGTTTCTCGGCTTCTGGCGACCCTGTGATGCCGCCCTTCAAAGCACAGTCTTACCCTACATTAGGTTTACAATTAAACAAGAAAAACTTATCTGATTCATTCTTAATATTTAATGCCTGTAGGGTAAAGAAAATATCAGGCTTTTCTGCCCTTCCGCCATCAGGATAGATGATGGATCCTTGTCTTGAATGCATGCCTGATGGCGGGCACCTGGAGTAGGGTGTGGGCATAGGTAGATGGGATTCAGCTGAGCTAAGACTGTGCTTTTTAAGGGCGGCGTCACAGGGGGACGCCAGCAGCAGGAGCAGTAGCAGCAGAAGCGGAAAGAGAAGAAGCCCGAAGCAGAAGCAGAGAACGCCAGAGAGCCCAGATAGAGTGAAGACTTGCTGGGGGCTGGGAGGCCTGCCAGCCTCCCAGCCCCCCAGCACCCCTGCCTGCCATATGCCTGGTGAACCCCAAATAAAAAAACCTGCAAAACTACTGAGGACTCTGACTCTTCCTTTACCTGGTCTGCATGGGATAAGAAAACCTGCACTGTGCCCAGTCCGGACTTTACAATGCCTTTCCTAGCAACTTTGTTTTAACTTTTTTTTTTTTTTTTTTTGCCAGCGATGGGGGGTGGTTTGTTGTTGATACACAACTTACATAGAAGTTTATGGAGATAGAAAGAACATTAAGTTACCAGAAAGATCTCAGTTCTAGATTATATAACATTTAAAACTCAGCTTTCTCTTCTCAAAATTAGAAATAACACTATCTAATATGTGGGTATTGTGTAGATTATATTTAACATGTAAAATGGAAAAAAATCTAGAACAAAAAAATTATCTGGTCTGAATATAATTAGTTACACCTATTGTGATTACAAAAAAAAATATTTTGGGCAGTTAAGTTGATCTCTTCTAGATGATCTGAAACAAATATTGGAACAGATAGTATTAATGCTGAACATTAGACTAAAGAATAAGGAAACTAGTAGGGAGAATTATGATTTTCTCAGAACAAAGCCCAAGATGTTTGATCTAAAGAGCAAAGGTACATGTAAGTCACAAGTATCACAGATGTCTAGTATAAACAGTTGGAATGCTATTTTTGGTTCTGTTCTAATGGAATGAAAAATTGTGATATCTAATTTTCCATGAACTTTGTTAATATAATTGGTTGAACTAACTGAAAGACAAAACTGACAGAAAATCAATGTAGAAAAAGAAAAGATCAAATATCAAATTTTAGACTTATTTTGAAATTGCTGTGAAACATCCAGATAAAAATGCTAAATTTGAACCTAAAAAAGTACACTGTGGTTCACAGAATAGAAGTCCAAGCTGGAATTCTTTGAGATCACTGCAGGATATGTGATAACACTACTAAATGAATGTGTAGTATGAAAAGGGGAGCGAACAGTGACTTTATTTTATGGAATTCAAATATATATGCATTAACCGAGAAAGAAAAACTGACAGACAACAAAGAAGAGAAACCAAGAAAGTGATTTTTTGTGGAAACCCAGATAACAAATTATTTTTATTGTCTTTATACTTTAACTGTGTGAATTAACTACAGTAACAACCTTGTTGAAAAACAATCCACTGATTTTGGTATCACATAGCAGAAGTCATACAGAGAAGACTGTGAATGAATAATATACTTTGTAGTGAAGAGGAGCAAAGATATACGATGGTACTGAAAAAGAAAGTGGAAATCAAAAGAGAGGTTTTGGTTGTTTATTTTTATTTATTTATTAAAAAAAGATGTGTTTATTTATTTATTCATTCATTCATTTATTTATTTATACAAGCACTGGGTACAGTCAGAAGCGCAGGACGGTGAGAGAATTCACTTGAGCCAGAGCAGGGAGCAGAGCAGGCAGAAAGTCCGAAGCACACTTCTAAGGGGAACAGCGGGTGGCAGGAGAGGTCTGCGCGGCATGTGGGACCCTCCTCTGGTGGCCGGGGAGCAGCCAGGGATCGAACTGGCACCGCAGAGGCTGCGGGAAGCTTCGCAACCCAGCGCTCAACCGCTGAGCCATCAGGGAGGCCCAGTTGTTTATTTTTGGACAAAGATACCTTAGTTAAAGTGCTTAGTACAGGATATGGGACAGAGTAAGTGCTCAACACATGATAGATTTTATCATCATCAATCAAAAACTTTTGTCTAGATTGTGTGATTAATTAGTAAAGGTTAATAATAATTTCTGCCAAGTATTGTATGGTCATTCTAAATGAATTATTATTAGTAGTAGTATTGTTATTGTTAATTATTTGAATCAAGCACCCCGTGATGTAATCATTATTTCCCTAATTTATAAGTGAAGTGTTCATGCTGAGAGTGTGTATTAAATACTTGCTAAGTAGTGAATGGAAGAGCTGGAATTTCAATCTTCATTTGTCAAATTTCAGAGCCTGAATTTTTTTCCTATAGAATATTATTACTTGGAAAGCAATGAATGAGGATTGCTCAATTAAGTAAAACCATAATTATTTAAAGGCACTTAACCACCATTAAAGTCTTTA